GGCTCGATATGGAACTACCGACGTTACCCGGCCCTGATAGTCAAGGCGGGATCCCAGAAGCTCAGCAGCAGCTTCACAGGGGACCCATCTTAAACAAGTCGGGAAAATCTTGTCGGGCAGAGCGAGCGGTGCGGAGCAACCTCCGTTGTGCCAGCCTCTGTGCCTCGGTGTGCACGCAAACCGACGAGCGCTCACAGCCGTGCAGCGCGTTGAGACCCATCAGCGAGTCACTCACGTCACTCAGCACGTCCCGACGGATGCATCTCCTTCGTTGCCCAGGGCGGGCGCGGCCGGAGCCGCCAAAACCGGCCTCCTGCCAATCGAGCAGCGGGAAGGGGAAGAAGTCGATCGAGCAGCCGGGCGGTCTCTCAAGTCCCGGCGGCGGCCCGACGCCAGACGGCAGCGCATCTGGCCAGACCCACGGCGGGGCCACTCCCTCCTCCAAAACATGCTGGACTTGGAAAACCGCAGCAGCGCCGCCACCTGAGGCGCCGCAGTGGATCAGGTCGGTCATGATTTCCCGCCACCTCCCGCGGGTGGCTTCTTTGCTTCTCGTGCTTTTCGTCTCTCCTTCTCGATGGCCGCATCGCGGGCGAACTCGCCTGCCACATGCGTCCGTAGACTCGGGGCGACCAGAGTCCCCGCCCCGACGTCGTCCTCTCCCAGGAAGTAGTGGGCGCCCTCGAAGTTGGGCTTGTCCGGGTCGGGCTTGTGGGCCTCCTCCAGTAGCTGGCGGCGCCTGCTGAGGTACTCAATGCTCATGAGGTTCGCCAGGTTCACTCCGTCAACGGACACCGCGAGCTCGAGCGCCTTCGACACCGCACGATGCTCATGGGCCGAGCGGCTGCTGGCGGGCACACGGCTCTCGACCAGCCAGCGCTCGTGCGAGGCCATGACGTCCCCAGGGCTCCGTGACATCAAAGCTGAGACTGTGTCGTCCATGCTCGGAGGCCCCTTCAAGCGGATCACCGTCCGCGCGTCACGGCGCAGCAGCGCTGCGTCACAGGAGAAGGGGACTGGCTCCGCTGGCTGGCGACGTGGCAGCAGCCTGGGCTCCCCGCGCATCAGGAAGAGCTGTCGCACCGCCGCCCACTCATCTAGGTCACGTCGGCCTCCACGAAGCTGCCGGTGGTGAGCTCCCCGCTGACGGTGATGAACACACGGCCCCCGAAGTCCACGGCCCCTGCAGGGAGGATGAACTCCTGCCCGATCGAGTGCAAGGGGCCTGGGACGTCGAACACCCGGCTGCCCCCAACCGGCGCCACACGCGGGACGGGCGGAGGCGGCGGCCCTCCCGCGACCGCCGGCGGCGGGGCGGCTGGCAGCGGGATCGGCACCACCGCCGGGGCGATGCCACCAGGGCCGCCCGCGACGCCCGCGCCAGGGGGCAATGCCAAGCCCCGCGCCTGGCGCTCGACGCGAGCGTGGAAGGCCCCCTCGCTGAGCACCGCCGTCAGCTCCGCGCCGGCTGGCAGGGATGCGAACCGATAGAGCTGTGCTCTGGCCAGCCCGTTCAGCACTCCTCCTGGCGTCGGCGCGAATCGGACCCCCGAGAGGTCAGCGCTGGCCGAATCCAGCTGCTCGATGAACACGTCCCCATCTGGGGTCGGGACCACGTACTCCGCACCGCTGGCCCATCCCATGATCAGGCGCTCGTGCCGGAGGTCCTCATCGTAGCGGACGAAGGCACAGGCGCCCGGCGCGAGCGTGGCCATGGCGCCGCCGGCGCGTGCGAGGGCTTCAGCCCACCGTCAGCACACCCGCGCACCGCACGGCCACGGAGGCCCGTCGGCGCGGGGAGGCCGCTCGACGGCGGCGGGCGGGCGGCGCGGGAGCCGCTCCAGCGACCTGCGGGGCCGAGGGCGAGTCCGCGATCCCGAGCGGCGAGCACGGTCCGACGCCGCGCGCCGTGGGGCCCCTCGCCAGGCGCGAGCGGCAGCTTCGGGCGCAGAACCCCAGGAGCGCGCTGGCGGCCACACCCGCCGCGAAGCCGCCCAGCCCCGCGGGCCAGAGCGGCGGGCAAGTGGCAGCGGGCGGGCACACAGCGCAGACGGGGCACTGCGGACACAGGTGCTCTGGCCCGCACCTGTCCAGCTGCTTCTCGAGCAGCTTCAGAGGCCCCTCGTCCGAGCTGAAGTGGCACGCGAAGTCACACTGGCACTGGCACGGCCGGTGCACCCCTCCCAGCCAAATGCCCAATGCGCTGGCGGAAGCTAGCTGGGCGAGTGGGCTGAGCATCACAACCGTCTTCAAATTTTTGGGTTCGGGACCAAAAAAGGCAGCGGAACGGAGACACTCGATCACACATTCACCAGCACGCAGGGCCATCATCCGCATCATCATCAGCATCATCCTCATCAACATCATCATCAGCATCATGATCAGCATAATCATCATCAGCATCATCATCAGCATCATCATCATCCATCGTCCATCATCATACATCGTCATCATCATCATCATCACCATCATCAGCAGCAGCATAATCATCATCACCACCATCATCATCATCAGCAGCATCAGCATCATCATCCGCATCATCATCAGCATCATCAGCATCATCATCCGCATCATCATCAGCAGCACCATCATCAGCATCGTCATCCATCGTCATCATCAGCATCATCATCAGCATCATCATCAGCATCATCATCAACATCAACAACAACATCACCATCATCATCATCATCATCATCCTCATCATCATCATCATCATCATCATCATCATCATCCGCATCAGCATCAGCATCATCATTATCATCAGCATCATCATCATCATCATCATCATCATCATCATCATCATCAGTATCACCATCATCCGTCGTCCAATCCTCCCCCTCCTCCTCATCCTCCGTCTCATCCTCCGCCTCATCCTCGCTCACCCTACTCTTCCTCCTCTTCCTCCTCCTCGTCTTCCTCCCCTCCTCTTCGCTTCCGGAGGCCCTCGCAGCCATCGGCGGGCTCCCTGGGCATTCTGGTCTGGACGCGCACTGGGCCTGAGGATACAGGGGCGAGACAGCGCTTGTCGCGTGCCCCCCAGCTACAGTGAGCGGTTTGAATAAGGAACAGTTATTTTTCAAAAGGGGCTCGGTCGTTCCTTAGATTTTGCATGCGTTATTTACAGTTCCTTATGCGTTATCAATTATGTATCGTTCCTTATGCGTTATTCCTTGGGATAAAAAAAGGGGCTTCGTTCCTTATTTATCGTTCCTTAGGTCAGGCCGATGACTGTATGACCCCATCGCAAGCCAGGAACTGATCAGAACGCCTCCAGCGGGGCGAGGACTGGGACATCCCTGAGCCGTATTCGGGGTCTGCTGGCGCTGCTTTGCGAGCGTCCTGCGCTCTTGGTTGGTCCTTCTTGGGCTCCTCGGGGCAGTCGTGGGAGCCTCCTGGGGTCGTCGCGGATTCCTCTGAGGCCTCAATGGGGCCGTCTTCGGGCCATCTTCGGCCGTCTTGCGCTCCTCCAGGGGTCCTCTGGGGCCTTTGCGAGGCCCTCTTGGGCTGTCTTAGGCACCTCCTCAGGTCCTTTCGGAAGCCTCTTGCGCTGTCCTGGAAGAGTGTTTGGTACCTGTTGGGCCGACTTGGGAGTTCTGAGCGGCATAACAGCAGGAATCCGAAACACATGTAGAAAGAAACACGTATGCGAATCAGAGATTTACGCATCTCGGGCGGGCTTTGCAAGGAGCCTCTCAGGGCCCCCTTGTCCCATCTATTCAGCCTTTTGAGAGCCGTTCTGGGCTGCCTGGGGCCGTCTTGGAGACGTCGAAGCTGTCATTGGGGTCTCGTGTCCCGGGATTTCCTCCCCTCTGCGGGAAAGATGCTCCTCCTGTCCTTGAAGATCCTCCTCCCTCTCGTCCTCCTCCTTCTCCTCCTCCTCCTCCTCCTCCTCCTCCTCCTCCTCCTCCTCCCCGCGCCTCCCTCGCTTCGGCTACACGCAGGAGTGCCCGTCGGTAAAGGTGACCTTTGGTGCGCGGCTTTTTGGGGGGACGCGGGGTGGCCAAACCCAGGCGCGCCCATCCGCTGCTACCGCTTCGCGCTCCACGATCGGGGGATCCCATCGGGCCCGCACCAGAGGTCGCTCCAGCGAAGGGTCACTCCTGCGTGCAGCCGCTCGCTTATAGACTCGCACGTGCCCTCTCGTGCGGCACTCCCGGGCCCCTCTGGAACTCCCGGGGGCTGTCTTCCGAGGCCGGGGAGAGGCCCGGGAGGCAAGAGAGGCCGGTCGTGCCCCGGTCTGCGGGGCCCCCTCTGTTCCTCCTCTCCAGTCCTCGCTGCCCCATTCGGCTCCCATCCCTCCGCCCCTTCAGGTGTCCGCCCGCCTATCCCACTCATACCCCCCCCCCTCCCTCCTCTCCCCTCCATCCTCGCTTCCTGCCGTCGGCTGCCTCCACAATGTTCGCTTGCGTCTCCTACTCCTTCTCATCCCTCGCCCTCCCTTCCTTCATCAGTCAATCCCTTCATCGCTCCATCCATTCATCCGACCCTCCACCCCTGCGGGCTTCACAATCTTCTGGTGAGCGTTTTCTTATTCGGCGTTTCGACATTCGGCGGAAGGGGGGGGGGTCTGGCTCCGGACCTCTGCTTAATACCACTGCTTGCAGCAGTGCGTCCTGTGGCGGAGACTCCAACCTGCCTGAAACAGGCACCAAAAACAGCCAAACGGTACTCCAGGGAAAGGGGGGAGGGGGCGAGGGCCCGCGCCGATCGGCAAAACACGGAATAAAAAAACTAACAGGACGGTCCCTACCCCATCCTTGTTTAGCTTGCAGTCGGCTCGCTCCTGACTTCGCGGGAGCCCTTCCCGCGCACAGAGACATGAAGCACCAGCGTCAGGGGCCAGGGAGGGCCCCCCTGGAGGCCTCCCTCGACCGCCCAAGGGAGAAGGGAGAGATGCTGAGGAAGTCGCGACAGGCTGTCAAGAACGCCACCCCGCACAGCACATCATACGAACGACCTGGCTTCAGAGGACAGCGGACGTGGCGCAAGCCCCACGAATCTGCTCCTCGAAGCCGAAGAGCAGACCAGCGACCGTGAACCTCATGCGCACCCTGTCCACGGTGTTCTCGCTGCCACAGCCGAAGTCCCCGCCCTGGACCCAGTCTTGCGTGTGGTAGCTGCGGCGCTGCTGCTGATTCAGCACCTCCCTGAGAAAAGCGTGCTCCTTGGTGTCGATCGCCCTCGCAAGTGCAATGTGCTTGATGTGAAAATCCAGACCGTTCTTGGCCTGCTGGAGCAGCAAGTTCTGGTCGCTGAGGCGCACGTTGTTATAGATGCCGTTGGAGTCCTCTAGGGGGCCACATGCGAACCCTACCCCTACCCCACACGATTTCTGAGGGGGAGGTTGGGGTTCACTTCGCTCGGGAGCTCCCGAATGAAGTGAACCCCACCCTCCCCCTCAGAAATCGTGGGGGGTAGGGGTAGGGTTCGCATGTGACCCCCTATCCTCACCCAAGGCGCGCAGGAGATCTGGCAGCTTCTGCGTGCGGACGAGCAAGCGTACTCGCTCTTCTTCGTGCAGGAAGCTGCTGTCCGAGCGGTCTGCGGCCTGGGCCGTGAAGCACGCCTCCCTCACGCCGTTCCGCGTGGCGAGCGCGTACTCCATGCTGGGCTCGGGCTGCGCGTCTCCTGCAAAAGGGTACAGGGCAGTTTTTTTTAATACATGGGATGTTTAAATATATGATGTTAACACATTATTAACTTATGAATAAATGTATGCATGACTTCATCGTTGTTTTTAATACTAAATCCATGCATTTTTAATACATGATCCGCACGCGAAGCATGTATTAAAAACGGCACTGTAAGCAAAACAACAGCTCTACAATGGCAGCCCCCAGCTGATGTTGCAAGGGGTCGATCCCGAGAGGAGCGGGACGAAGAGAGGGAGCGCAGGGAAGGGGGTCGGGGGATGGCGACAGGGCAACGCGGGGGTGGGGCACCCTTCCTGTGCGACGAGGCGACCCCGCTGGGAACGTGTTGCACCACCGTGGACACCCGTACGTACCCAGAACTCTGACCTCGCAACTTGTTTCAAAGCGTGGGCTCCCGGAGGTCTGGACCGCCTGGGACCCGATTTTCATCGTGAATCGTTTCGTTGGCCGTCCTGGGCCCAGTGAGGGCCCTTCGAGACAGAAAAATGCTCAGAACAGCTCGTCGTGATTTTTTCACAACGAGAGGTGGGAGGAGCAAAGCTATTGGGGGAATCACCCCCGCAAAGCACCCGAACAGCAGTGAGCCGAGCTCCCGATACCAGACCAGGGCCCCAGGAAGCCAGAAACGGCCAAAGGCCTCCCGTCGCGATATATTCACGACGAAAGCACGTCTGGGCAAATTATTTGATCGAAAGAGTGCCGGAGCGAACTGTACCAGCGCACGAGGCACACAAAGGGTCCTGAGTCAGGGTTCCGTATCTATCGTGCTTGTCATGCGCCTCCTCCTTCTCCTGCATACCCGCCAGTCGTAAGAAATAGGTGGAAGCAGGAAGCAGGACGGCGGATAAAGCAGATTGAGTTCAGGCCCGCCGACCGGAGTATACAACCACAACAGAAACATATGCATATTCCTGAAGTATGAAGGCGCTTGAAGAAGATTGGGATGTGGGAGATCCCTGGAGATCTCGACCCGTTCCCCTGGACCGGTTTTTCATCCTGAATCGTTCTCTGGCGGTCCCGAGGGCCAGTAAGGGCCCCCAGAGGCCGAAACCAGAGAAAAACCTCCAGTCCTGATTGCTCCACTGCCCGAGGGGGTCCGGGTACGGACTTTCAACGACGGGCGTGCCAGCACGCGCGCACGGATCCAAGCCCGAGGGCACTCACAAGGGCGCACGCCGCCCCCCGCCGAGAGGCATCCTCGGGAGCGGCCAAGAGGGGGGCGTCCAAGAGGGGGGGACGCAAATCATGACCGGCGGCATGTGCGCGGCCCAGCGGGGGGGCCAGGGACGTAATGACATAAGAAGAGGCGCCATGAGATCTGGAGAAATATCATGGCCCACGCCACGAGATCCACCTCCCCCTAGTCATCACCCCCCTCTTTGCCGCCCCCGACATCCGCACGAGACTCGAGAGGCCGGGCTCTTTCGCGGCCCGGCACAGCACGCAGCAGGGCTGATGGGAGACTCGTCCCCGCGGCGCCGCGAGGGGGGGGGCCGGCCCCTCCGGTTCTTCGGGAGAGACAGCCTGTCGTGCTGGTGCACGGTTTCCCCCCGGGGGCCGTAGGCGACCCCGAGGAGGAGGAGGAGGAGGAGGAGGAGGAGGAGGAGGAGGAGGAGGAGGAAGGAGGAGGAGGAGGGAGGAGGAGGAGATGAAGCAGGGGATGGAGGAGGAGGAGAAGGAGGAGGAGAGGAGGAGATTAGGAGGAGGAGGAGGAGGAGGAGGAGGAGGAGGGAGGAGGAGGAGGCAAGGAGGAGGAGGAGGAGGAGGAGGAGGAGGAGAGGAGGGAGGAGGAGGAGGACGGAGGAGGAGGAGTAGGAGTAGGAGGAAATGGAGGAGGAGGAGGAGGAGGAGGAGGAGGAGGAGGAGGAGGAATGGAGGAGGAGGACGGGCCGCATGAGCCCTTCGGAGAAACCCTCCACGGGCCAGGAAGACGCAGGGCACGGCCGTGCAGCAAGCCCATTCGGCATGCAGTAGGCGCTCGACCACAAGAGAAGCCTTCCACGAGAAGCCCAGCCCTGAGGCCCCAGGACGTCCCCTGGATTTTGGTGTGGGAGCGTCACGCTTTGCATATCAAAGCCATCGAATCCCAAGAAACCCAGGGCACCCTGGAGGCGAGCAGGGTGTTGCTTGGCACGGGGTCTCCACTGCGCGCGATCACGCGGATGATTGGATACTTTTTTCTCTCAGACCCGTCCCTCCCAAACCGAGGATCGTGCCTCTGGCTCTTGCGCCGCGCCAGTCCGGAAGGCGTGCGAAGGCGAAGATGCACAGCTTCACTCCTAGTATTAAGTCGGGCCTGTCCCCCTACAGGGGGATTTTCGACGACAAATAAAATGTACCCAAAAAATACCCCCAAAAAGGTAAAACATAGTCAAAAAAAAATCCCATACTATTTTTGGACTACTTTTCGACAATTGTTGGGGTATTTGTTTTATTGTTTTGTCGAAAATCCTCCTGTAGGGGGACATGCCCGACTTAATCCTAGTAGCGTCGGGGGGGGGAAGAACATACATCTTACAAAATCCGCGGGCGCCGCCCTGCTTGCCAGCCTCGAACCTATCCCTATCCCTAAGATTGACACGCCAAGAGGCGATGACAATCTTAGGGGTGCGCCCTCAAAAAAGAAGGGAATCCCTAAGATCGGGGATGGACAGACCCCCCTTTAGTAAAACGTGGTTTAGTGAAAACGACCTGCGGCCCAAACCTGGCGGGCGCAAGCCTGGAAAATAACGGCCACGGCGCCCTCTCGAGAACCGAAAACGGACAATTCACTAATCGACGTGTCACTGTTGGGGGTTCTGTCCACCCCCGATAAGATCGGCATCGTGATGAGGAGACGCCCAGCACAGGGATAGGGACATGCTCCAGGCTGGTCACCTGCCCCTCTCCGTGCCAGGCTCGGCGTGCTCTGGGCGGCCCTGGCGCCCGCCGCCCTCTCCGACCGTGGGCCCCGCGGCGCCTCGGGTTTCGCCGCGGGCGCGGCGCGCCGGGGGCGGCCCAACGAGGCAAGACGAAGCCAGGATTATGTCGGGCGTGTCCCCCTACAAGGGGGATTTTCGCCGGGAAAGAAAAAAAGCACCCCAAAAATACCCCAAAAAGGTGAAACATGCTCAAACAATAGCCCCCAGACTATTCTTGGACCATTTTTGGATTACTTTTGGGGTAATTTGTATTTCTCGTCCACAATCCCCCTGTAGGGGGACAGGCCCGACTTAAAGCCAGGACGAGGATGAACTCGGGTGAGGATACATCGAGAACCTCTGAGACACGGCGGCTCTGGGGGACGTCTCGGGCGCTGTGGCCTGCTCAGAGCGTCCCGGAACCCTCTGAGGACATTCCAGAACGCTCGGAGACGGATTCATCCTCGGCCTCGCCCTGGCCGAAGGGAGGCCCCTGGGCGTTCCCAAGAGACCATGGTATCCTCCAAGATGATTCCGCGAAGCACCCCTGGGAGGCAAAACCGACAAGACACACAGAAACAGGCATTCGGTATACATGGTTGTGCATCGCGTGTTGCGTTTGACGTTGCTCTCCCTCTCTTTCTTTCTCTCTTGGCACTCGGGCAGTCTAGGCAAGCTGCTCCCCTACAGACACCCCGACGGCCCAAGAGGCTCCGGACTTTACAACTTAGGAAAAAACTCTATACACGGACGCTCTTTCCAGCCCTGCACTGACACTTGCATTGGAAAGCGGATCCTGGAGTGTACAGGATCCTGGTATATACATGTTTCGATGTCACTCTGGGAAACGGATTAAGAAAGTATGCACCACACCACCCCGACGTCGTCCCCGAACCTTAAAAAGTCCTGGGATTAAAAACAACAGTCCGCCAGTGGTGATGTACATGCTACAGTTCCCGATCTTCCCCAATCAGTGCTTGCACTGAAGGGGTCCTGGCGGAATTGAAAGATGTGGCGAAAGTGTCCCGCCGATTTTGGTGGCCGGCTGGGTTCCCGGGTTCCCGGTTCCGGGTTCCCGGGTTCCTGGTCATTGGTTCCGGGCCAATTAGGGTGGGTTCCGGGTTCCCGGGTTCCCGGTCGATCTCCTTGTCGATCTCTTTATAGATCCTATTTCAAACCATCCGCTGATTGGGGTCTTCCTCTGGTGTAATACACCTACTGCCAGCATCCCAAGGAACGCGAGGATGGCTTCAAAAATGCCCCAGGAGGTCCCCAAGAGAGCCCCAAGACAACTCCAAGAGGCTCCCGGCACGGGCCCAGGCCCCCAAGAGGTCCCCAAGAAACCCCCAGACGGCCCACTACCCTTCGGTCGGGCATGTCCCCCTACAGGCGGATTTCAAGCGAAAAAATTACAATACTGGCAAAAAAAAAACTGCATTGCCAAAACATGCACAACAAAATCGTCCCCATACTATAATTGACTATTTTTGAATACTCCTCCTGTTGAGGGACATGCCCGACTTAACACTACCCCCGAGACCCCGAGGGGCCCCCGAGAAGACACCGAGGACCAGGAGAGTCCCCAGAGATCCGAGGGCATGACCTTTCAACCCCGCGTCTTTCACCGACTTCGGTCTCCGCGGGGCCCGTTGTCGGGCCCCGGGGCCATTCAGAATGGATCTGGGCCGAAAAACACATCCGGGGAAGGGGTCGGGACCTCAGGGGCCGCGGACTGACAAAAATCAGATCGGCGGAAGTCTGGGTCACCGAGGAGCTCCTGGGAGGCCCGAGGCGTCCTACAAGAGGCGCCGCAACAGCCGGGCAATGCCGAACCGCTGCCGTTGTGGATGCCATGACGATGGGCACTCCAACAATGCTACCATTAGATTAAGAATGTGTTTAAACATGGCGGGAAATGTTCTACACATGTTCTTTGCATGTCTAAGGCATGTTGAACACATGCTCTTGACGTCTGGAAATGATTTCCACGGGTCGTCGTCCACAACGCTGCCGCGCTGGGCTGTAGAAGGTTTGCGGCGCAGCTGTCCCAACGCGCCACGAAGGGACGGGCGCGGCAGCGCAGCTGGATCACGTGTGCTCCAAATGCGACCTTCGGGAACTCCTCCTCCTCCTCCTCCTCCTCCTCCTCCTCCTCCTATTCCTCTTCCTCCTCCTCCTCCTCCTCCTCCTCTTCGTCCTCCTCCTCCTCCTCCTCCTCCTCCTCCTCCTCCTCCTCCTCCTCCTCCCCTCCTCCTCCTCCCCCCCTCCTCCTCCCCCCCTCCTCCTCCTCCTCCTCCGCCTCCTCCTCCTCCGGCTCTCGGATCCTGGGAATTGTAGGCCCAGAATGTCACCGCGATCTTCGCACACGGTGACCAGAATCTTGATGGCCACCGCGTGCATATGGGTGTCCTCTGGTGGTTCAATAGCAGCCGCCGAGGCAGCAGCGGCACTGGCGACTGGCGTAAGTTCCGGAATGTGTCATTGTGACTGCGCAAATAGGGAAATCAAAAAGTACGGATACCGCTGCCCCCCGCACCTCTCCCGGGGTGCGTTCTGACCAGAATTTCGAAGCGAATACAGCGGTGGTGGCGAAGGCCTCCGAGGAGACCCAAAGAGGGGAAAACGGCTCAAGGGTAAAGGTATGATTACTTTTTCCCCCTTCGAGCAAGAATCCTGCAACAGCAATCTGGGCGGGGGGGGGGGGGCGCTTCCCGAGCCCTAGGATGACTACACTAGAGGCCTCCAAGATGGGGTCGGAGTAGATGGTGTCGGAGGATCGCGCCGCATCGCCGATACATCGCCGATGCATCGGCAATGCATCGGCGACATCGGAGGTACACCGGCGACGCAAGCGTGGAGAAAATCGAGCTCCGCGTCGAGCCGCATCGCCGATGCATTGACGATACGGCGCGATCCTCCGACCCCATCTGCTCGGACCCCATGTTGGAGGCCCAGATGCACGCCCGAGCACATTTGCGGAGGCCACGGGGCCACCACGGCCGAAAAAGCCCGTCCTTGGGGAAGCGCCGGACCGCGCCCGACAGCGTGTCGAGCAGGCGGCCGCAGAAGCGCTGGCCGGGGAGGCCCTGGCTCCACAGGTTGCCCAGCCACTCCCGCGAGAGGTCCATGATGTCCTCGAGGGTCCAGAAACGAAGAGCACAACGGCACACTGGCACAATCTGTTCTCCTCGGAGGCGCGCGTCCGACCCGAACATGTATATAGTATACCAGTGTACCCGTCTTGTAGCACATCGTTTCCCGAGCGGTGTCGCCAGAAAGCGCCCGCCACGACGCATGCACCATGAGCTTTCTCGGGGCGCGCGTCGCCCCTGGGGGGGGGGGGGGGGGGGGGGCGACGCGCACAGGGGTGACGCCGGCTCTTTGCGGCAGCGATGACCCCGATGACAAACGAAGCCAGATCTATGAAAGAAGGCTTGTGACCACCTACCAGACCACCCCAACCCAACCCGAAGACCCGAATTTCGGGTTGGGGGGGGGTAAGGGTTCCACATGTATTTTTTCGATGTTTCCCGACCCCCGCCCCACTGGAAATCGAGGGTAAATCTGAGCCTTCGGGTTGGGTTGGGGTGGTTTGGTGGGTGGTGAGCTTGGTAGTCGGCAGGCTGTCCTGCCACAAGACCGTCATAACTTGTTCCTCCCAGGTGGAACGGAAACCCTGGCGCGATTGAGAAGGGGGGCGAAGGGACGCATAGGAAGCAGAGGGCGGAGGACTGGCGACAGCACAGGTGCCCCGGCGAAGCGAACCAGGCCACGACGCACCTGAAAAGCGAAGGGTTTACGAGGAGAGCCGGATTTCTGACACCTGCCCTTCGCGATCGCACTGCCTCTCGTTCGCTCCCCAAGAGGTCTCCAAGACGGCCCGACAGGCCCCAAGAGGGCCTCCAGGAAGGCCCGAAGAGGCCAAAATCATTGATTTGCCTTGGACCCTTGAAGGATCTTGGCATTTGCTTCTTGTTCGGCCTTCCGACGGCCCGAGACGGCCCATGAGCCCCCAAAGATCGCCCCAAGATCGCCCAAGAGGCCCCCCCCCTCCCCCAGACCCTGGGCACAGTCGACACATGGCCACGGGGACGCGGGTTGAGAGAACGGGCCCCTTCGCCGAATGCCCGAGGCCCCATGGAGGCACCCCGCGGGGACGGCACTCCGAGGTGGAGGGCCCAGACACGAAGAGACCTCCCAGGGGAAAGACCACAGTATACCTCACACTGTACACCAGGAAACCTCGACGAGAAACAAAAAGAAACCTGTGTGGCAGGAAACCTCCACACTCTACAGTAGGAAACCTCTACAGTAGGAAACCTCCACAGTCCAGACACAAGACCACAAGAAACTTCCACGAACAAAACCTTCCACATTCGACAGTAGGAGCTCGACCACAAGAAACCTTTCATCATAAACCCACCTCTGAGACCCCAGGGCGCCCACTGGTTTTGGTGTGGGAACGTCACGCTTTCCATAGCAGAACCATCGAAGCCCAAGGAACCTAAGGCACCCTGGAGGCAAGCAGGGCGTTTCTTGGCATGGGTTTCCACAGTAGTGGGCGCAGAAGGGTAGACAATAAAATTTGCAACGATCGGGGTCGCCTGTCCCGGGGCGGCTGGAAAATTTATACCCCACCTGCCACCGTACGGTGGGCGTAAACTTCCCAGTCGACCTGGGACAGGCGCCCCCGATAGCGGCACAGGTTGTGTTACGCCTGGTAAATACAGGTACCCTTCCAAACCTAGGGTTGATCAGAACCCTCACCTAAATCCGACGTGCGAAAACATACAACATCGTGACAAAACCACGACCGGAGCCCTGGACCCCATCTCTCTGCTGCATGTCTCATGCCGGATCGATCTGCGAGGGCCCCGGGGCCCGGAACCTAGCGAAAACACCCGATGTGAAAAGATCCCAGAACCCCGACATCGTGATTGCTTCATGACGCGCCCCTCAGATGTCTGGACCCCTTCCCGGGGACCAGTCTTTCACCTTGAATCATTGATTGACAGTCCCGAGGCTCGGCAAGGGCGCCCAGAGCCCCGAAAACAGCGAGCAACCTCCCGTCGTGATCTTGCTCACAACGCGAGAGGGGGTCTGGCACATCGCAGCGTCTGGCTCCCGGGGCTCGTGCCAGCTGCAAGGCTGGCGTTGGCCTGTTTCTCGTTGGCAGGTTCCCTCGCGTGGACGGGGGGGGGGGGGGACGCGCGTGAACCCGCGGTAGACCGCCCAGGACTTGCACGTGCGGAAAAACCACGCCACTCGAACGGCACTTGCCCGCCAGTGTCCGTCTGAAGAGGGGCGAGGGCGAGGGGGTGGGCAGCCGGTTTTTTTTTCACCCCCGCACTCTTGACCTCTTGCTGCCTTGCTCGCGCGCTGCACGGCACGCGCGTAGGACACCGCAGCCTTTTGGCCCAGAAGAGGACCTAGAGTCCGAAACGTGTCGCCAGCTAAAAGTGGTTGAGATCGGCAATACACCAAGGGGAGGGGGCGAACGCCATGCAGATGAACTTGCCTGAATGAAATTGAGGAGGGCAAAAAAAAGAGGCTCCTGGGCCGTCGGCCCCCTCGCCTCCTCCGCCAGGCTTCCGCCAGGCTGCCGCCAGGCTGAGGTCGGGCACGCCCCCCTTCCAGGCGGACTCTGGACGAGGAACAAGAGAATGGTCAAAACATGCACCCAACATATCAGAAACAATAGAAGCATCGTCCCCCGAATCTTGTTTCACCATTTTGGGACACTCCTCTTGTAGAGGGACGTGCCCGACTCAACGCCAGGCCCTCGGGGATGGACAGACCCCCCTTTAGTAAAACGTGGTTTAGTGAAAACGACCTGAGGCCCAAACCTGGCGGGCGCAAGCCTGGAAAATAGCGGCCACGGCGCCCTCTCGAAAACCGAAAACGGACAATTCACTAATCGACGTGTCACTGTTGGGGGTTCTGTCCAGCCCCGAGGCCCCCACGCCCCAAGGAGCGGGCGCCGGGCGCTGTGCGCTCACGGCGGCCCTCTGCAGGGTTTGGCGCTCCGCCCCCCGGGGGGGGGCCGAGGTGCCGCATGAGCCTGCCTCTGCTCAGATTCGGGCACGTCCACTTGCATGGCGTTCGCCCCCCCCCCTCCCCGCCCCCCCGTTGGGCGCCCGAGTTATCCGGGGTAACTCGGGTCCGGGGTAACTCGGGCTCGGATTCCCGAAAAAGGAACCCGAGTTAGCCCTGACCCGAGTTACCCCTGATGATTCGGGGCTCTGGACGCCCGAGTTATCCGGGGTAACTCGGGTCCGGGGTAACTCGGGTTTGGATTCCCGAAAAAGGAACCCGAGTTATCCCTGACCCGAGTTACCCCTGATAATTCGGGGCTCTGACCCCGCCCCTCTTCAGACGGACACTGGCGGGCAAGTGCCGTTCGGCTTGCGTGGCTTCCGCACGTGCAAGTCCTTTGATTACCTCAGGTTCAAGGCGCCCCAGCCCCCGCCCATGCAAGTGAACCTGCCCGAGCCCTAAAAAAGCAGGCTCACATCCTCGCGAGGCGCCCCTGCAGAGCGCCCTCTGGCGGGATCCCAGACCCCCTTGTGGTGCGAACAAAATCACAGCGGGAAGTTTTTCGCAATTTCCGGCCTCTGGGGACCCTTGCTGGACCTCGGGGCCGTCAAACAACGACCCAGGATAAGGAACCGGTCCAGGGGAAGGGGTCCGCCTCTTGAAGTCGACGCAATGAAAAAAAAGCATGACGCCGGGGGTATGGGATCATGTCGTGACGACCCCGGCATGGGCTTCTGAGCCTCATAGAAGACGTCGCAAGCAAAACTGCAGCATCGCTCTCTGGAGCCCCAGACCCCAGACCCCATCTTTCTGCATCATTTTCGACCCAGATGGATATGTGAGGGTCCCATGGCCCAAAACCTGGCGAAATCGCAAGGTTTGCAGAATTAGAAACGCCTGGATATGAGGGGATACCGCGGGGATCGTTCAGCCTTGAAGACTCGGCAATTTCCGACATGTCAGATCCTTCAACATCGACCGATTCTTGGTCGCCGGCAGCGTTCAGCGTTGAACTCTGGCGGCGGGGTCGCCGCCGGTCGACACGACACGGACCTACCGTACGTACATCCCCTGAGATCTTGTCGTCGCAATTCTTTCACAACGGGCGGTGTTGCTTCCTTTCGGGCCCCACGAGACCATCACAAGTCGATCCGGCTTGACACACGCCGAAGAAAGAGGGGGTATAGATCCCCAGTCATCATTTTCCTAATGTTGAAATTTGTTTCGCGTCGTCGGATCGATCCCAGGGTGGAGGGAAACTGAGAGGCCATCTCTGGAGGTGTCCAGAAGTTTCCATGAAGCTTCCCGAAGCCCCCTGGGACCTCTGGAGGGCTCTCCAAGACGCCTGACAATCTCGAACAAGCACCTCCTCCTCCTCCTCCTCCTCCTCCTCCTCGTCCTCCTCCTCCTCCTCCTCCTCCTCCTCCTCCTCCTCCTCCTCGTTGTCCTCCCCAAGAGGTCGAGGGCACACTTGGTCTTGACGGGTCGACCTGGTGGCACGCCGCCAGAGATCAAACGCTTCGGTGTTCCCATCCTGTGGTCTCGGGTCCTCGTTCAGCTCCTCCCGGCCTCCCCCTCCTCAGATTCATCCCATCCCTGCCTCGGCTCTCCGCGAGTCGACTTCGGCACGCCCCTCACACGCTTCGCGGCACCATAGCGAGCTCCGCCGAAAACCCCAACTGGGGCTGCGCTCGCATGCCACCACCGCGCCGATTTCAACACACCCCTCACACGCTTCGTGGCCCCGTAGCGAGTTCCGCCGAAGACCCCAGTGGCTGCTCTCGCATGCCACCACAGCACCCATTTCGGCACACACCCCTCACACGCTTCGTGGCCCCAAAGGGAGCTCTGCCGAAGGCCCCAGTGGCTGCGCTCGCATGCCACCACCGCATCAAACTCTGCACACCCCTCACACGCTGTGGCCATGTGGCGAGCTCCGCCGAAGGCCCCAGTTGCGGCGCCGGCATTCCACCACACCACGAAATCCGGTACACCCCTCACACGCTTCGTGGCCGCACAGGGCATAGGGAGCTCCGCCGAAGGCCCCAACTGTTACGTTCGCATGCCACCACCGCGCCCATGTCAGCACACCCCTCACACGCTTCGTGGCCCCATAGTGTGCTCCACCGAACCCCAGTGGCTGCGCTCGCATGCCACAAGCGCACCCATTTCGGCACACCCCTCACACGCTTCGTGGCCCTATGGGGAGCCTCACCTAAGGCCTCAGTGGCTGCGCCCGCATGGCTGTCCCGCCCCATTTCGGCACACCCCTCACGCGCTTCGTGGCCACACAGGGAGCTCCACCGAAGGCCCAAAAGGCAATGTTGTCATTCGTGGCCCAACAAGGAGCTCCACCGAAGGCCCAAGCGGCAAAATTCGCACGGCGGCGCCGCCCCATTTCGGCACAACCGTCACAAGGATCGTGGCCCCATAGGGAGCCCCACCGAAGCTGGTACCCACAACGCGGTACGCACAACTGCCTATGGCTGGGTCATTCGCCAATACAATTTTCAACAGGTGGTCCGCGGAAATCCCCACCCTTTTTCGAGGGCCCCGGGGCCCGGCGAGGGCCCCCAGAGGCCGAAAACTGCCAGACATCATCCATCTTGTTTTTCGTCACGACGCGAGCATGTTTGGCTAGTAGGTTTTCGGCCCATACCTCAGCTCTCTGTCGGCCGTTCGGGACGATCTGGGCACCCCCACCACGCCCTCGGCGAGGCGCAACTGCTGGAGAGCATCCCGAGGCCGGAAAACCGCCGATAACCGGGAAAGACGCGCGAAAACCTCGAGCCTCGAACCTCGAACCTCGACTCTCTGACCCCGGGTTCTGGGCCCCGAGGCTCCTGCAGATCTTTGACGCACCCCCTGCAGACGGCGCCCGCCGTCGCGGGGCAGGCGACGGCCGAGAGCAGGGCCTCCACATCGCAGCGCCAGCCGTGCTCGCAGCTCAGGCCCCGGGGGACGTGCGGCGGGGGGCCGCCGCCCTCGTCCGCGCGCGCGCCCGGCGTGCCCTCCTGGCGGACGTCGGGCACGCAAAGGAGGAGGAGGAGGAGGAGGAAAGGGGGGGGAAGAGGAGGAGGAGGAGGAGGAGGAGGAGGAGGAGGAGGACCAGTGCAAACCCAAGAGTCATCAACGAGGTTGGGGTGAACCCTCCCTTCAAGCTCCCTCCTCCTAGGCCCCTGCAACGCTTCATGTCCACTGACGGAACTGCCTCGTTGGGAGACACCCGTTGGAAGACCCTGAAGCATGCCAGAACATTGTTCTCAGGATTCCAACGCCACGGATCAACCTGAGTGTGGCGTCTTGACGATCCTGAATCGTACCAGAACGCCATTCTTAGGACTTCAGTACAGAGATTCAACGTAACTGTTGCGCCCGCATAATCCTGAATTCATTTAAAACGCCATTTATGATACGCTGATAACGACAAGCGATGAATCTCTTGTGATTTCTTACAACGAATGTGCGTGGCGCTCAGGCGAGAGCCACATTTTGAAAACGACCCGCCCTCAATCCATGAAGCTCTTGCAGGTGCGTACAATGAATGTGCGCCGCGCTCAAGGGAGAGCCACATCTTGAGAACGGCCCGCCCTCCGTGAAACTCTTGCAATCGCTTAAAAAGAAATGTGCACCGCGCTAAGACGAACGCCCTCAATCCGCGAAAGTCGTGCATTTGTTTAACGAACGTGCGCCGCGCTGAAGCGAAAACCACATGTTGAAAAGGAACCGCCTGCAATCCGTGAAACCCGTACAAATTTGTAAAACGAATGCGCGCCGCGCTAAGGCGATAGCCACATTTTGAAAACGACCCGCCCTCCATCTGCGAAGCTGTTGCCAAGTTTGAAGCTTCAGAAACATCAATGGTGAGGAAGTCATCGGCGAACCGCCCACACCGCCCCAAAAACCGGCCTCAGGGTGCGACAGGGAGAAGCTGCTTGTAAATGAAAGTCATGGAGGAGGATGGGGAGGAGGACGAGGAGGAGGAGGGGTAGAAGGAGGAGGAGGAGGTGGAGAAGGAGGAGGAGGAGAAGGAGGAGGAGGAGGGGGAGGAGGAGGAGGAGGAGGAGGAGGAGGAGGAGGAGGAGGAGGAGGAGGAGGAGGAGGCGGAGAGGAGGTGGAGGAGGAGGGGAGGAGGAGGAGGAGGAGGAGGAGGAGGAGGAGGAGGAGGAGGAGGAAGGAGGAGGAGGAGGGGAGGAGGAGGAGGAGGAGGAGGAGGAGGTAGGAGGAGGGAGGGGGAGGAGGAGGAGGAGGAGGAGGAGGAGGAGGAGGAGGGAGGAGGAGGAGGAGGTCAGGAGGCAGAGGAGTAATGGCCGAGGCGAAAGATGATGGGAGGAGGAGAGGAGGAGGAGGAGGAGGAGGGGAGGAGGAGGAGGAGGAGAGGAGGAGGAGGAGGAGGGAGGGAGGAGGAGGAGGAGGAGGAGGAGGAGGGAGGAGGAGGAGGAGGGGGGGGGGGGGAGGAGGAGGTAGGAGGAGGAGGAGGAGGAGGAGGAGGAGGAGGAGGGGAGGAGGCGGAGGAGGAGGAGGAGGAGGAGGGGAGGAGGGGAGGAGGAGGAGGAGGAGGAGGAGGAGGAGGAGGCGGAGGTGGGGGAGGAGGAGGTAGGAGGGATGGAGGAGGAGGAGGGGAGGAGGAGAGGGGGGAGGAGGAGGAGGTGAGGGGAGGAGGAGGAGGAGGAGGAGGATGAGGAGGAGGAGGAGGAGGAGGGGGAGGAGAGGAGGAAGAGGCGGAGGAGGGGAGGAGGAGGAGGAGGAGGGAGGAGGAGCGAGGAGGGGAGGAGGAGAGAGAGGATGAGGAGGAAAGGGGGGGAGGAGGAGGAGGAGGAGGAGGAGGAGGAGGAGGATGAGGAGGAGGAGGAGGAGGAGAAGGAGGAGGAGGAGGAGGAGAAGGAGGGCGAGGAGGAGGAGGAGGAGGAGAAGGAGGGGGAGCAGACCGTTCTGTCCGACCGCAATCTGGGGGTCGACTTCGGTTCGGGGCTTGTGGCTAGTCGGGGCACGGTCCGCGGGCGTGTCGCTAACATGCGCCCTCGAATGGTGCGCATGGGTTTTCTCAAGGGCTCCAAACCTCGTCGCCGCGCGCTCGGACGCATGGCTCGAGCTGCTTTGGAGTCTTCTGTTCTCTTCGGGGCCTCGGTGATGGGCACAAACGGCAAGGAACTGGAGGTTCTTCGAGGTGCGGCAGGTAAGCTGCAGGACCATCATCAGGATGGCACGTCTCGCACTCTGGCCCTCTTGCTCTCCCCAGTGCCCCGTCTGGACCCCATCTTTAGGGCCACCTGGTTGCCCGTCAAGGCCTATCTTCACGCCCTGTGGCACCGGTGGCTGCCCCTTGAGGCCCTCGACTTCGGCCTCCGCGAGGCCCACAGGCACTTGGCCTCTCTTGAGCACCCCTGGTCCTCCATTAGGGGCCCCTTCTGTGCTCTGTGGGCCTCCCTTAAGCGGGTTGGGATCGAGGCCACGTCCGCTTCGTCTTGGATATGGGCCGATGGGGCCGTCATCGACCCGTCCGACTACTGCCCGATCACCATCCAGGAGCTGGTCTTTCGGGCCGTCGAACTCTGGCAGTTTGGCAAAGTTGCGGAACACATTGAGCAAGAGGAGTTTGCTAGTGGCGTAGTCCTTGGCCCCCTGAAGGCTCTGCTTGGTGATAAGAGTAAGCTGACCGCGCAGCAGAAAGGGCACCTTCGTAGCACGATCATCGGGGGACAGTGGCCTCAGAAGAGGCAGTGGGCCGCTGGTTATGACACCACCCCTGCCTGTTTGCTGTGCCCCGCTCATGGAGGCACGCTTCTGCACAGACATTGCTCGTGCACTCGTCTAGGGGACTTTGAAGTTAAGCCGGCTTTTCTGGAGGCCGCGGCCGCTGCCGCTGGGTCCTCTGCTCTTGCTACGCTCTTTGCTGAAAGGTGTCTAGTGCCTTTCCCTGCCCTGAGTCGTCCGCCTCCAGGGCCTCCGGTTTGTTGGGGGCTAGGAGGCCCCTCAGAGATCACTGGTGATATCTACACCGACGGATCTGTGTTTGAAGCCGAGTATCCCAGCCTGGCCAGTGCGGGCTGGGGGTGCATTGTGCTTCACAAAGATCGTCGTGAAGTCGTCTCGTTTTGCTCTGGCCCCGTTCTGGACCCCATGCAGTGTATCAATGCTGCGGAGCTCCTGGCTGTTATTCATGTCCTGCGCTTCGCGGCTCCGCCCATTCGGATTTTCACGGATTCGGCCTTCGTGGCCGATGGCTTTCACGAGAGAGGCCGTGAGGCCACCTGTGCGTGTGTTGTTGCGCATGCGCATCTCTGGAGGGAGTTCTGGAGGCTGGTGGACGAGTGGGGCGGGGGGTTCGAGATTATCAAGATAAAGGGGCATGCGACAGTGGTAGACGTCCAGCTTGGACGCACCACGGCACGCCATCGGTATGGGAGCACGAAGGCTGATGAGGCTGCCAAGAGTGCGGCTGCCTTCGCCCGTGTGCCCGCTGGCTCGGTTGCTCAGTTGAAGGCCAGACACAAAGTTCTCAAGGTTTGGGGCTCTTGGGTCGGGCGTCTAGGGGATGATTTGGCGGACTGCGGGCACCCGAAGAGGCATAATCGCGGTAAGCCACCCGTCCCCCAGCTCGTGCTCGTTCGCGACCCCACTCCCAATGACGTTGTGAGTAGGGTGCTGGCTGCGCAGGCCAAATTGGGAGTGGGATCGAAGTTGCATGCCCTTGTCAGGCTCCAGCTGCAGGATGGTCCGCTCGTGGTTGGATGTACGCGCTGTGCTTGCTTCGCCTCTGCTCGGGTTGCGAGCCTTGGAGGGCCCTGTCCGCCCCAGGTTTCCGACTACGGGCGGAAAGTGCTCAACCGTCTGGCGAACAAGCGTGAATTCAGACTCGATGGGAAGGTCTATCGAGTCCTCTCGCAGGATCGCATATGATCTTGATTGCGGCCGCTCTGGCCCTTGTCCTCCTCTCTGCTGGTCTTTGGCTTCTTGGTCGTCCGGCCTTGGGGTCTGGGGGCCTTTTTCGGGGCGCCCCGCGGCGCCCTCCGGAGGTTTTTTTTGCGCGACAGTTACAAGGGGTTAATTATATATTGGGCCATTGCGCTTACTTTAAAATATTAATTGTCCCTCGAGGCTTTCCCTCGTTTTAAGAGGGTCTGCCGCGGGCCGTGTCGGCCATCTGTCCGAAGGGCGTGGCTAATGGCGGTTGTAAGGTGCGCCCCTAGCCACGCCGTTGCTCGAAGGCTGAGGTGCTATAGACCCTGTAGCGCCCCAGGTTGTGCCCAGGAGAAGGAGGAGGAGGAGGAGGAGGAGGAGGAAGGAGGAGGAAGAGGAGGAGGGGGAGGAGGAGGAGGGGGAGGAGGAGGAGGAGGGGAGGAGGAGGAGGAAAGGGAGGGGAAGAGGAGGAGGGGGAGGAGGAGGAGGAGGAGGAGGAGGAGGAGGTGGAGGAGGAGGAGGAGGCGGTGGAGGGAGGAGGAGGAGAGGAGGAGGAGGATGAGGAGGAGGAGGAGGAGGAGGAGGAGGAGGAGGAGGGGAGGAGGAGGGAGGCAGGAGGAAGGAGGAGGAGGAGGAGGAGCAGGAGGAGGAAGGGAGGAGGGGGAGCAGGAGGAGGAGGAGGAGGAGAAAGAGGAAGAGGCGGAGGAGGAGGAGGAGGAAGGGGAGGAGGAGGAGGAGGAGGAGGAGGAGGAGGAGGAGGAGGAGGAGAAGGAAGACGGCGGAGCCAGGTCAGAAGAACCAGCGGGGTCCAGCCCAAGACGTGCTCGCGTCGCAGGAAGAAATAGGAACGAAGGTTATTGGCTACTTTCGGCTCCGGGGAGCCGTACTTTCGGCTACGGGGGGCTCGTTTCAAAAGACGACTCGTGGCGAAAAGCCGGTCCTGGGGAAAGGTCGGGGCCCCCGGTGACGCCGTCCAGAAAAAATCAGGACGTCGCATGTCTTGGGCTGAAAAAGGGGTGGCGCAACAGATTTCGGACAAGTGTACTGCAAACGTACTGAGCCGGAAAAGTTTGCTGCATTACATGGCAATGAGCGCATGGCACGCGAAAGTCCA